GACAGCCTCCAAAGCCACAGAGAAACCCTGTCTCGAAAAAAACAAAAAAAAAAAAGCTTATTCATTTTTACTCTAATTATGCTAGTCAAAAAAGTCTTAGTATCTAACCTACAGACACTACAAAACCATAATTTATAATACTACACCGCTACTCTCAAAGGCTTCCTAGATAATTATGGTTTTGTTTGTTTGTTTGTTTGGGAGACAGGATCTTACTATGTAGCCCTGGCTGTCCTAGAACTTCCATATGTAGATCAGGCTGCCTTTGAACTGAGATCTGCCTGTCTCCACCTCTAAGTGCTTAAAGGCATAAGTCACCACAGCTGACTACTGTATTTTAATTCTACTCTTGACATACTTGCAGGGTATGTTGACACCTGTAAGTACTAAAACTGCTAGTCATGAACTGACATATTTAAGGAGGAAAATAGCATAATTTTTCTTTTTTTTTGGTTTTTTCGAGACAGGGTTTCTCTGTGACTTTGGAGGCTGTCCTGGAACTCCCTTGGTAGTCCAGGCTGGTCTCGAACTCACAGAGATCCGCCTGCCTCTGCCTCCCGAGTGCTGGGATTAAAGGCGTGTGCCACCAACGCCCGGCGAAAATAGCATAATTTTTAAAAGACCTTAGAAATCAAATTTTAGAGGCTGAAGAGTTGGCTCAGTGGTTAAGAGCACTGGCTGTTCTTCCAGAGGTCCCACATGGCAGCTCACAACCGTCTGTAACTCCAAGTCCAGGGGATTCAACACCTCACACAGACATACAGGCAGGCAAGACACCAATGCACATGAAATAAATAAATCTTGTTTAAAAACTCAAATTTTAATGGTGACTAATAGCCTTCTATGAAGGCAAGAGAAAAAAAACACAGAATTGACACACACAAGTCCTGACATGTTAAAGGAAATGATGATTAAAGGGAAAAGAAATACCAAGTTCATCTGTCCACTGCAATCTGATGGATAAATGGTAATTCAGTCAACATTTCTGAAGAACACATTTGCTTTTAAACAAACAGGCAGTAGGCGCCGATTTCCTTGTCTTCTTTCTTGAGTTAAACGCATCCCAACTCTCCTTGTACCTTCTTCTCAATCCTGTGGAATGTCAACTGACAGCAAAACTATTCTCAGAATCTGTTTACGCTCATTCTGAGCATGTGTGTTTGTGCATGCATACCAACTTTTCCTATTATTTCTGAGGATAAATTCCTAGTATGTAGATCTAGGTCAAACACTTGTGCATTATTCCTAGATAGCTAACAACAGCTCTTCAGACTGAAAACATTCATTTCAACCTCTTCTGCACCTCAGAGTACATCTGTCTCCCTTCATGTGTCCCAGCCCTGGGAATTACTATCATCCTTACTCACACTGCACACTGGCAGATGTTCAAATAATAAAATTACCAAAAGAAGGAACAGAAGTCACAGTAATACCATACTGTAGCTGGTTTTAAATTTTACCAAATTCGCTTGCATTAACTGGGGTCTAAATCGCCAACTTTGACAGCAGAAGATGGCATCTCAGACCTGTGCTCAAGCCGCCATACTGAAATTCAACTGTCCCTCAGTATCCATGGAGGTTTGGATCCTATTCTTCACCCCGTACTACCAATGCACAAGAAACACAAGCAATAAATCAATGTATTTAACATCATGGGGTTAAAAATCAGTAAAACTCAGTTTCTTCAATACAAGTTACAAAGAGAAAAAAGATGGAGAACCTATGGACTTCAAAGAGACTTTCAGAAGCCAGGTATGGAAGTAAGTACACACCTGTAATTCCAGCACTGGGGAGGCTGGATGATTACAAGTCCAAAGCCAGCCATAATAATTTCCAGGACATCCAAGGGATACATAATGAGACCCTGCCTCAAAAAGAGAGAGGGAGGGGGGAACAAATCAGGAGGGGAGGAGAATGCTAAACAAATTATTCAATTGCAATGTATAGACCTTATTTGGGTCTCAATTAAAACAACTGTATGATAATTAGGGAGTAGTAAGTGGAGACCTGATATTGTGTGTGTGTGTGTGTGTATTCTTTCTGAAACATCACAGAGCAAAACCAGAGCCCCTCACACTCTAGACAAACACTCTCAGTGTTGAGGCACAGTCCTAGTCAGAAATGTGGGAAGGGGTGGCATCTGCGGTAGTCAACTCTCCCTTCTACCAGGTGGGTTCCAGGAATCAAACTCAAACTAGGCAGCAAGCACCTTCACTCACCAAGGTATTTTTATAACCTAGAAATTATTTTTTAAAATAATTTACTGTGAGGGGGCTTTTTTAGACCTACACTAAGATATAGACAAAATTACAAGGCAGCTGATTTTCTTTTAAACCATCCAATGACAGGAAGGAAGAGGTAACCCTAAAATGAGGATGCTGTGGACTTGCTAAAGCTGGATGGAGAGAAAATGCTTCAGAGTATATTAGTGACTATCTTTTCTTAATAGTTAAAATGTTCCATGATAAAAAATAACTTGTAGCATGCTCAAGATCCTGAGTTCAACCTCCAGTAGCACTACAAATAATAATAACAACATTTAACATCTAAAGAAAGATTTTCCCATGTCCTTAGATTCTATTTCTAAACGTGTTCGGCTTTGACTGAGTTTTTAGAGCTCAACACGTATGGAGGTGCTTCATGTGTATTACTCCTATGTTCCTAGCTTGTCTGTGTATCCTTTCACTCCCATCATTTCTTGCTACATAGGCATTTAAAATAAGGGCAATTCTGACATGCTAACACACGGATAGGCCTTGAGGACAACATGTTAAGTGAAACAAGCAAGTCAGAAAAGGAAAATTACTGTGTGGTTTTAGCTGTGGTCAGTTTCAGAGGCAAAGGGGTGTTCCAGAAGCCAGGAGAAGGGAAAGACACAAAGTTCTTGATTAATGGGCTCCAAACTAGAAACCTTAGTGGTAATTGTTTCTTTTAACAATGAATGAATTTACTTCCACTAAATTGTTCAAAAAGGCAGAGGTAGGTAGTAAAAAGTATCCCTGCATTTATTATATACTTTATCACAAAATAATTGTGTTAAAATATAGTAACTAAATTAACGTTACCCCCGCCCAACTAAAAGAAATCTGGCATTGTTATCTCAAATTCCATACAGTTTCAACAGTCTCAGTATGGGCAAGTGAGCTTTGGGAGACTGACAAGACTTCAAAGGCCCTACCAGGAAGGAATGCAGTAACTACACCACAGCATCACACCCTGAGGTCTACTCAATGTCTAACACAGCATCTCACCCTGAGGTTTACTCAATGTCTAGCACAGCATCTCACCCTGAGGTCTAACTGCGCTTTACCAACACATGGGACCACCAGGCTGCCCCCACAGAAAACAGGAGAAAAATGGATGATATGAAGGTGGTTTAAGGCATGAAGCCACTGATTGCCACCTACCCTATCCATGCTCACAAGAGCCATTCAATACCTTCCTGAATCCCGCCTGCAGCAAACTCAACAAGAAAACAGTGTTCACATTTGGTTCTATAACCCATCCAGAGAGAGGGCTGAACTCTAGAGTGGAGAAAGGTTGCTGCCATACTTCGTTTCTTAGGATCTCAACACCAACAGTGGATGATTCAATTTAAAACTCTCTTCACAAACAACATCAACTGGTACTACTATCAATAATAACCTCACTAATAACCTCTACTGCTATTACCATTAATAACAATAATAATAATAACAACCTCTCTTCAGGAGGCCACGCTAAGAGGACCGGCTGCTCTTGGAGGACCTGGGTTTGACTCCTAACGTCCACCTGAAACTCAAAAGGGTCCATCACCCTCTTTTGGCTTCAGATAGCAAATGCATACATACACTCAGGCACAAACACATAAAGTAAAACTAGAAAGACACGGAGGAGAGCTATAAAAGGGAAGGAAGGAAAGGAAAATTCATTATAAAATAAAAGCTGGTTTCAAGTATCATTCATCCTTTTAAGGGTTAAAATTCCATTTGAAGTTTTAGGTGGGGGAGTTATGAAAAACTAAATTCAACTCTTATGTCTCCGTATAAGAACCAGAAAGCTCAGTATGATGCACATTCATTGTTTCTAAGTTATTTAAAATACATGTAGTTATGACACCGTCATTCCTCACAACATGGGTTCCTACTCATCCTCCGAGCCTGAAATCTCCACACGGTGTTAGAAATATTTTTCCTTACATGACTTCCTATAACTCAGTACAGCGTGCTTCCAAGTCTAGAGGGCAACACCTCTCCCATCACCTGAAAATACTGCTATTTTTCACAGCCCTTACTAAAACCGAGTCTTTGATGTTTTAAAGAAATTCTCATCATCTAGTAACTGCTTCACACAAATTACTCTTCTTTAATTGAGGAGGTAAACACTAGATTTGGCTATTCACAAATGCTCATACAATCATTTCTCCAGCAGCACCTCAAGAAAGGACACACATGACTCCCATTCGGAACGACGCTATCACTGCGTTACTTTACGTGGGCTCCTGGTTGCCCACCTGAAGGCGGGGGTGAGAGGGGGGTGTTTCCTGTGGGTTTTCTGGGTTGCAGTTTGGCTGCATGCAAAAGCCCAGCCCTTCGAATTCATCCCCTGTCTCAATAAATAAAAAGGAAAGAAAGCCGGGCGTTGGTGGCGCACGCCTTTAACCCCAGCACTTGGGAGGCAGAGGCAGGCGGATCTCTGTGAGTTCGAGGCCAGCCTGGTCTACAAGAGCTAGTTCCAGGACAGCCTCCAAAGCTACAGAGAAACCCTGTCTCGAAAAACCAAAGAAAGAAAGAAAAAAGTAAATTCTAAAAAGGGAGTCCCCAAGTAAAGAAACCCTGAAAACAGTTCCCTCCCCCAAGGGGACAGATTATCTCCAGAGGGAGAAGTCTTCACCTGACTTTCTGATTACCCGGGCAGGCCGGCAGGCAGCAAGAAGAGGTCTCTCTAAGTGGCATCAAGCCCACTGACGACTGTCAACCCCTGCACCTCCAATTCAAGCCACAAAGCTAGACGGCCCTCACCTTCCCAACCAAGCGGTGCCTCCACAGAAGGAAGCGGACACCTCCTTGCTAACTGGCCCCAGACGATGAAACTTCGGGTCAGCATCAGGAGCTGGGTTAGGAGGGCGCGGGGGCGCGGAGGACGGCTCGGCGCTGGGGGCGCAATCTCCGTGATTTGCCAGAGGAGACCGCACAGGCTCCAGACAGCGGGAGCGCCGGGGTTTCCATGCAGCTGCCACGACAGGTGACCGGGCCGCTTTGCAGACAGACACTCCGCTCACCCGCTGGCTGGCGGGGCTCGACTGAAGGTGGGGAGGGCAGGAAGGAGAAAGAGGGAAAGCAGAGCCGCCCCGGGACCCCGGGCACGGCGGGGAGGCCGGGCCGACGAAGCCGGTCTCCCCGGGAAAACCGTTGGGATTTTTTTTTTTCTGTCTCCCACAATTAAGGAGAAGATGGTGATGAAGAAGAAGAAAAAATGGCTCCAAGCCAAACGCCTTCTGATTTACACACGCCCGCCTGAGCTCCTCGGTCGGCCCATCTCCTCGCACGCCGGAACAAAAGGCGAACCAGCGAGCGAGCGAGCGAGCGAGGCGCGGGCCGCCCGAGCTGGGGGTCCGCTGAGGGGCCCCGCGCCGGCCGCTGCCACCGCGCCCACCGCCGCCCCGACCCCGCCGCCCCGGTCCCCGCCGCCCCGGTTACCCCGCCGCCCCGGTCCCCCGCCGCCCGGCGCAGCCTCACCTCCCGAGCGGCCGTGGCGGCGGCCCCGCGCCTCTCCGCCTCCGCCTCCGGCAGCCCCTCGGCGCCGCCGCCGCCGCCGCCGCCTCCTCCCCCCTCCCCCCCGCGTCTCGGCCGAGACTCCGCCTCCCTCAGCCGCCGCCGCCAGTCGGGCTGGGGGGCCACGTGACGGCGCCACGTGACCCGGCGCCTCCCAGCCAGCCCCGAGCGGACCCGCGGCGGGGGGGCGCTGCCCGTGGCGAGCGCGCGCGGGCGCGGGCGCGAGCGAGCGAGCGGGGTGCGGTCTCGAGCCTCCCACGCGCCGCCCGCCTCCGTCGCGGCCACGGCGCCCAGCCGGGAGCACGGTACCTGGAACCTCGCCGCCGCCGCCTCCTCGGGAGTGTGCTCACACGCGACCCCGCCAGCGTTTGCCAGCGGGGGCCGGAAGTGGACATCACGCCGGCTCCCACCCAGAGCCGCGGGCGAGCACACGGCGGCTTGTACTATGAGCCAGCGTGGCTCCCGTGGAAACAGCCATTCAAGGACCTTGGGTGGCGCCGCTGTCGTCACGTCAGTGCTCCCTCCAGTCGCTCTAAGGGAGACAGGGACCCGTAGCGTCACGTTAAGTCCCACAGGCGGCGAGGCTTCACACACACACACACACACACACACACACAGCCAATCCCCCCTCTGTTAAATGGATGGGCTGAGAATGGAAACTTCTGCCACTCCTCGGGTTTTCCATCGTTACAAAGAAAGCGTTGCTGGGTGTAGAGAATGCGTGGCTTAAAATTTAAAAATAGGCGAGATCAGCATCTTTCCTTAAGGCAAGGCTAAGAACAGGAGACGCTCCCTCCAAGTGCGAGGCACTGCTTTCTATTTCTGCCTGTCAACGTTTAAAAGCATTTCACGGTTTTGTGGGTGCGCGTTCGTTACAGACAGGGTCCGTCTTTAGCGCAGGCTGGCCTCAAACTCAATTCTCCTGCCTCAGCCTCTTGAATGCTGCGATTTCCAGCCACCATGCCTAGCCTATTCATAGTTGCCTCTGTTAATTCTATCAGAAGTCTGAGTAAGAGTCCGTCAGGCTCTTAACACTGTGTTGGATGTTTTACAAAGGTTTTAGCTTCTGTTTGTTTTTTGAGACAGGGTCTCACTGTATTGCCTGGAACTCTGTGTAGACCAGGCTGGCTTGGAACTCACGAGAGCCACATGCCTGAACAACATGGGTGTTCTTTCTGTCGCAAACACTAACATTGTATCTTACTATTCTTTCTGTTCTCTGATTCGTAACTGATTCCCGTGCCTCGCCCCTTCCTGACCCCTGAAAGGTCTGTTCTCTTTGATGACATTTTCAGAAGGAAGGTGGCTTGCTTAAGCTTGGGTCTCACCTGGGGACTCACTGGAGTAATCTGTTAAGTCGGTTGTGAATCTGCATGTTGCGCTTTAAAAAGCTTTCCAATTATGGAATGAAGAGAGTTGCCTCTTATTTAAATATCTGGAGCAACTGGGAGCCAGTGGTACTGGCTCAATTCTTAACTGGCTTCCCTTTGACTCTAAGTTCAAGCTGGAGAAAAACTTCTTCCCACTCTATTAAAATGTGAGGGATGTGGGACTTTTTTTTTTTTTAACATTACATTCTCTTCTGCCTTGGGGATACACGGTGAGCTCAGAGTTGAACTGATAGTCATTCTGTCTTAAGAGCATGATGACATAAACATTGTGTACTCTCCATTGTGTGGCTGAGCCTCTGAGAGGGAACATGGGGACAACAAATGATGATGCTGAACCACCACACCGCCCCACCCTAAAACTGGTCCAGCAGGCACAAGGGCTCCGCAGTTATAACTTGGTGACTCTTGGTCCCTCCTCGACTCTCCATCCTTCTCTTTTGGTTTTTCGAGATAGGGTTTCTCTGTGGCTTTGGAGGCTGTCCTGGAACTCGCTTGGTAGTCCAGGCTGGTCTCGAACTTACAGAGATCCGCCTGCCTCTGCCTCCTGAGTGCTGGGATTAAAGGCGTGCACCACCACCGCCCGGCTCCATCATTCTCTTGACACCCTATCTACCACAATAATGAGAGACCCAGATCCTGGGACCCCAGAGATCCTGTTGCTCTCCTTCCTCCCTGCTACCCAGTATCGATGTGGGTATCTCCCTTCCCTCTTGGCTGTCACACAATCTAAAGCCCAAAGTCTTTGCTGCCAACCCTTCCGCCACCAAGATATTGAGCACAGGCCCGTGGAAACTGGATCCTGGACACTGGGAGATGGCAAAGGAGCTTTTGGAGAATAAGCTGCAAGCCCGCAGTCTTTCAGTGTGTCCTGAGAGCCAAAAAAAGTGCGTGCCAGCTGAGACTTCATTACTGGAAGCGCACAGTCCTGCAGCGTAAAGGACAAATGCCCACATCCCCTGGACTGCTCTGAGCCGAGCCACAGCCACGCTCCTACCAATGCTGGGTGCTACCAGTCACGTGTAGAGGGACTGTGGGAAGCACAGGGCAAACTGTGAGGATGAGTGTGGGGTAAAAACTATAGTCTTATGCCGAGCAGTTTCTCAAGTAGCTGCTGGCGGGAAGAATGTCTAGCCCCCAAAGAAACTTAGGTTCAGCTGCCGGAGCTGGGCTTGCCATCATTACTGAGCTCCTGCTCCGGACCACACTGCCCAGAACGAAAGCTCTGTGCGGGGATTAGCAAGGTGGGACGCTGGTTCAGATAAGGAACGAGCCCATATCAGGGTGACCCTAGAGGAAGTGGATAGCCAGTCCTGACTGGTAGCCTTGGCTTTGCTGACACCATTTTGTTTCTCCAATGGGCTGGGCTGGACACTCAGAACAACTTCAGTTCCCATCCGTGCTTCTGCCTTAGAGCCTAAAACTCCAATCAGCCAAGTCTTTCCTCTTCCCCCTCCTCCTCAATGCTGCCCAGCAAAATCACAGCTGGACCCAAAGCCGAGGGCCAAAAGACTGCTTGGCTCACTGCGGAAGGGGGGAAATGGGGAACGAGAAAACAGCTTTACAAAATGAGGTCAAACTTTCGCGTCTGTCCTTGGTGCAGTCTGAAAGCAGAGGGGTGGCAGGGTGGCCCACATGGCCCGCAGCTGGGGCAGCTTCCTCCTTCTTCCTGGTCTGTCCTCTTGCTGGTTCAAAGGGCACCTGCATGGGCTTGGCTACCCCAAAACACTGTTTCTGGAACTACGCTAATGGCTAATGGCACCTCCCCTCTTGCTGTTGTTTTCTGTCTTCTGTGTTGTCTTCTGACAGGGTCTCATGCCTGAAACTCATGACCTTCCAGTCGAGCTCTCTCCAGAAGGCCAGGGTAACAGGTATGTGCTCCCATGTCTGGCCCTCGATTAGCAGAAGTCACTAGAAGGGAGAAGTTACTTATAAAAGAAACTCGCATTCCTGTGGGAGAAATGAGACCAATACAGCAGGTCCTCTCTTGCATAAGGCTGTCAAGACCAAGCCAGGCGGTGGTGGCGCACGCCTTTAATCCCGGCACTCGGGAGGCAGAGGCAGGCGGATCTCTGTGAGTTTGAGGCTAGGCTGGACCGACAGCCTCCAAAATAATACAGAGAAACCCTGTCTCATAAAACCAAAAAAAAAAAAAAAAAAAAGGCTGTCAAGACCAGAGGCCGGAGGGTCGGGAAGGGGGTTGAAAGTGAGGTTATTGAGAGAGTAGAGGGAGACGAACTCTGTGTCTCTCCTGTGGAAGACCGTGTCAAGGTGTTACGGGGTTATACACTGGAACAGTTTGACTCAGACTTGAAGATGCAGTTGCCCTCTAGGAAACAGCTGCCTTATGGTTTAGCAGCTGAGGGCCATAAAGTCTGAGGTTGAAGACACCAGAGTAAGGTAGCTGGAGCGGAAACCACATCAAACACATTAAGCGCTCTGTCTCACCAATGTTGGATAACCCATTGGCTCTGCTGTGTTTCGTCTTTGTTTTAACCACCATGTGGAAGAATGGATCAAAACTCCTGAAGCTGTAACAGACTGTGGGCAGAGCTCAGTGTTGGAGCACTGTATTGATGGCTCTTCTCTGGCTGTGATAAGATGCCATGGCTAAGGCAGTTTGCAGCGGGAAGGGTTTACCTGGGCTTATGGTTTCAGAGGGATGAGAGTCCGTCGTGGCTGGGAATCCCGGCAGCGGGAATGGCTGGAAGCTCAGGAAAGCCTGGAGTAAGGAGAGTAATATAGGAATGGCTCTTGGTTTCTGAAACCTCAGAGCCTATCCTAGTGACACACTTCTCCCAGCCAGTCCACACCAGTCAGCTGGTGCCCAACCGTTGACACGGCAGAGCCTCTGGTGGGCATTGCCACTCAAAGCACAACAGGCCTACTCCTAGAATGAAGACATTCAAAAGAACCCATGGGGCTAGAGAGGGGCTTCTTACAATGGTCCCGTGTTCCCATCCCAGCATCCACGGGGCAGCTCACAAATGCCTA